CTCCCAGCCTCCTGAGTAGGTGGAATTACAGGTCCAGTGATTTTTCTCTTTTTAAATAATCTAACCTTCGCTATGGTTCTTCTGCCCAAGGCTTTCTTTATATTAGCACAACGTGCCATTTGTACTTTAAAAGGCTATGAGAGAGAGAGAGAGAGAGAGAGAGAGAGAGAGAGAGAGAGAGACTCTACTACTGTGTACTGTGGCAGTACTTTTGAATATCAAGAATCCTAGGGATACCACCACATCATCTGACAATGGGAAGAATTTATAACCATTCTTAAGACTCTGACTTTTCTAGTCTGATTACACAGGCTAACTGTGATCCTGTTAGCAGGCATATGTGATGCTTTGAATGAGAAATGTCCCCCAAAGGTTCATGTCTTTGCACCCTTGGTCTCTGGTTGGTGGCACTTTGGGCCACCTTAGGAGGTGCAGCTTTTCCGGAAGAAGTACCTCACTGGAGGTAAACTTGGAGAGTTTATGGTCTTCCCCCACTTCCAGTTTGAGCTCTTTAGTTTGTTTACAGTTGAAGATGTGTTCTCGTAGCTTCCTGCTCCAGATGCCAGCTGCCATGTCTCTCTGACATTGCAGGCTCTCCCTCCTCTCTTCTGGAAGTCATTTCTGGTCAAAGTGTCTTATCATTGCACTGAAAGTAGCTAATACAGCATACTAATTTTGTTCCTGATAATGCTAGAAGTGTCTTGTTATTATAATGTTTCCCCTACTAAAATAATAACTGTCAGGCTAGATAAACAGAGATTACACATATCATATATATCCATTAGGAAGCATGAATCTGAAGCATGATTAATAAAAACTCAGAAAGAGAAATTGGGGTTCAGCCTGAAGACCCGGAAAGCAAAGCAGCTAGTCACTGGCTCTTACCTCGATCTCAGTCCGAAATGGCGGTCCTGCCTCCAGGAATCTTAGAATAAGACTGTGTCTGTGAGCTGTCTTCTCCTTTCTAGGGCTATGATTAAAGGTGTGCACCACTGGAATTAAAGGCATGCACCATCTGGTTTCTATGGCAACTAGTGTGGGAACTAGGATTAAAGGTGGGTGTTACCACTGCCTGGTCTGTAAGGCTGATCAGGGGGCTGTTTTACTCACTGATCTTTAGGCAAGCTTTATTTATTAAAATATGAATAAAATGCCACTACATTAGTCAATTCTTAATTTTTTTTAATGTTTTAAAGTCATGAACAGGTACCTAATTTCAGTGGAAACAATCTATTGATATGGATTTTCTTAGCAGATTTCTTATTATTGATCCACCAACTCCTAGAATATCCCACTTAGGCATAGTATCTTACTGTCTTTATACAGGATTAGAGTCCATTTGCTAGCACATATTCTGTACGATGCTAATGTTTTATCAATGTTTTACATTGATGTTTATAAGCAATATCTTTTTTCTCTCTCTCATCATAGCAGAGACAGTTTATGCATCCATGTTCTGCTTGAAAGGGAATTGTGTGTGTGTGTGTGTGTGTGTGTGTGTGTGTGTAAACAGGCACATCAATAGAAACAGGAAATGGGGCCTAGGTGGATGAAGGGTTATCCAGGACAGGAGAGGGGTGGGCTGGGTAACCTGGAATGGTGTATTTTGTTCCCACCCCTTCCGCACCGTTTCTGGACTGCACTGGCAAATACTATTGGGTGGAGAGCTTTGCTACATTAAGTCCTTCCCAATGAAGCTCTGCTTCAGTTCCTGCCCAAACCATGGAGCCAGCAGAGTACGGGCTGAAACTGTGAGCAAAACAACCCATTACAGGGCATAGTAACAAAGCTTTGGTGAGGATGTGGAGAAATGGAATCTGCATTCATTGCTGGTGGGGTTGTAGGATGGTGTGGTCACTCAGAGATATAGCTTCCCTGTTTTCAAAATGTTAGTCACTGTCTTGGTGAGTTCAAGGCCAGCCTGGGGTACATAAGGCCCTGTCTGAAAACAAACAAAACCCTCAAACATCTGTATTCATTAGTCACCCACTTAACTCCTCCCCTGAGCCCCAGGTGATGGCCATTCTAGTTCCTGTCTCTAGGAATGAACTACTCTAAGTACCTCATGAATGAAACTGCACAGTACTTATCCTTTTGTGGCTGTTTTGAAGTTCGTTCAGACTGTGGTGTGTGTCAGGATTCTCTTCCATTGTAATGGGACATAGTGTGTTTCTGCTTCTGTGTGATTATTCCATACTTGGCTTGCTCATTCATCCTTGATGGATAAATTCATTTTAAAGCCTATGTGATTCCATAGCCCCACTGAATAGCTTCACTAGGTAACCTCTTCTCTCTCTCTCTCTCTCTCTCTCTCTCTCTCTCTCCCATACACACACACACACACACACACACACACACACACACACACACACACTGGTTGGGTTTTGTTTGTCACAGGGTTTCTCTGTGTTCCTCTGGCTGTCCTGGAACTCACTCTACAGACCAGGCTGGCTTCAAACTCAGAGATCTGCCTGCCTCTGCCTCCCAAGTTCTTGGATTAAAGGTGTGCTCCACCATACATAGTAATTCTCTATTATATTTTATTGGATGCTAATTGCATATGTTACTTAAAGCATACTGAGAAGGTTAACAAACTATATCCAGAAAGTCAATAGGTTCCACTGCTTGCTGTTATCTATAAAGTTTTATTGATAAAATTCACACTCATTTGTTTATCTTTTTATCTATAACTGTTTATATGCCATAGCAGTAGAACTGCATAATCGCAACGTCAATTATAACAAAGACTAAATTATTCACTACTTAGCCTTTTAAGTAAATAAATGCTCTTTCCCAGAACTATAGTAACAAATAGACCTCAACATTAATAAAGTGGAAATTTATTTTTCCTTCATAGTGTCTTAGTTAGGGTCCTATTGCTATGAAAAGACACCATGACCACAACAACTCTTATAAAGGAAAACATATAACTGGGGCTGACTTACAGTTCAGAAGTTCAGTCCATTGTCATCATGGAGGGAAGCATGGTGGCATGCAGGCAGACATAGTACTGGAAAAGGAGCTTGAGAGTTCTACATCTGGACCCACAAGCTGCAGGAAGAGAGAGACCTTGACTTAAGCATTTGAAGCCTCAAAGACCACCCCCAATGACAAACTTCCTCTAGCAAGGCCACACCTACTCCAATAAGGCCACACCTATGTAGTGCTACTCCCTATGGGCCTATAGAAGCCATTTTCATACAAACCCCACACATGGTTAGGCAGCTTCTCTCTTTGCTTGCTGTGTGAGCAGGGGATGGATGCTTCCACTCGGTGGCTCAGCAATGCCCAGAGTCTCCGCCTCTTTTGCCTTGTGTTGATAGAAGGGGAAAGAGTCCCTGCAGGAGACTCTTACTCTTCTACCTCCCTCTGCCTCTTTAGGCCTGTCTCAGATGGACACATGTTATCCACTCATGATCCCGACTGGTAACTCGAAGCCCCAAACATCCATGGGCATAGCTGTCTCTGCCATACCAACGCCAAGCAAAGAAACAGCAGATGGAGGAGGATGGCCATGCACGTGTAGGTGGCTTTTCCAGCCTGGAGCAGGTCAGATAAACTGCACGCACCAGCACAAGCAAGCCCTCCTGGAACGCTGAGATCGTTAGGTTTGACTGGTCCCAGCTGCCACAGTTATGAACAGGCCTTGGACAGAACATCGCCTTTTTGTCGCAGTTACTTTTTTATGGCTGTGATAAAACATCACCACAAAAGTAACTTTGGAAGGAAGGGTTTGTCTGGGCTCACAGCTCCAGAGGGGTACAAGTTCATCACGGCAGGGAGGCATGACAACAAGCCACAGGTGTGGCTGCAGGAACAGGAAGCTCAGAGCTCACATCCTCATCCACAAGCACAAAGCAGAGAAAGCAAACTGGAAGAAGGGGGCATTTTAACTCTCCAAACCCAGCCGGGAGTGATGTACCTTCCTCCAGCAAGGCTGTACTAACTGAATCCTCGCAGACAGCACCACCAACTGGAGACCAGGTGTTCAAATGCCCAAGAGTCTGGGGGTTATACCTCGTTCAAATTATACTCATCACCCCACGGGGTTACACACTGCCGAGATCCCAGCCTCAGGACATGGTCAGACCAGCTTCCTGGGACATTTTATCTAGATTGAGAGTCAAGCACTGTCAAGCAGTCTAACGTTTGTATCTGCAGAATCACTGTGGTTGGCTCCACAGCTGTAACGGATGCAAAGCCCCTTTTATCAAGTAGCAATAGCATTTCACACAGCTCACACAGAGCTTTCTACGCCTGAGTCGCTTCTAGATCATCACAGACCTGTCGTGGTGAGAGTGCCACGTAAATAAACGTGAGGATGCGTTGTTAGGAAACAAAAAGCCCATTTTCAGTGCAAAACCCAGCTTTGCTTCTAAATCCTTGCAACCCATGATTGGTTGAATCCCAGGTGCAAAACCCCATGGTTACAAAGGGCTGGCAGCATGCATACTTTTTCTTACATTTCTTAAGATTTCAAAAAGTTCATGAATGACCACCACCGCTGCCTCCAAAGTTACAAATAAAACTAAATCTGACCTAAGATTCTTTCTGCTCTGTGGTGTGTGAATAGGGTGTCCCCATAGGCTCCTATGTTTGAACACTCGGAGAGCAGTGCTGTTGGGGAGGCTGTGGAACCATTAGGAGGTACACAGGGAAGGAAAATGCCAGTGGGTTCTCTCTCTTCCTCCCTCCCTTCCTTCATCCCTCATTCCTCTCCCCTCTCCTCCCTCTCTCTCTCTCCCCCATCTGCCAGTTGGGCCCCATGATCCTGCCACCTTGCCTTCCTTGTCCTGAGGGGCACTCTCCCTCTGGAATAATTGTAACCCAAAAACAAATCCATTCTTCTCTAAGGTGCTTTTTGTTAAGGGATCCCATCAAAGTAATGGCAAAGTGACTTATATACCCACCCTGGAAAAACAGAGGGCCCCCTCTTGCTAAATACAGACAGAAATGATCCATTACTATAGTTTTATTATCTGAAACACACAAACAGGTCATTCTGGGTTTTGTTCTATTTTATTAATTACAAAGTCATATCTCATAAAGACTTGCCAAACAGTTATCAATGAGTGGGAATATAAAAGAAAATACAAAAAAAAAAAGAAAAGCCCCCAAGCCATAGACTCAAAGCCTGGGAGTGCAGCTAACCAGCCACAAAGGCTGAAGTCGAGGAGGCAGGTGTTGGAGACATCCAGCACTGTGAGGTCACGTGGTCTGATCTCTTTGGTTCTTCCCTGGCAGGGCCGTACCCCACCACCTTCAATACAAGAGCTGGTATACTGTGGCTCTTTCCCTGCAGCCGGTGACCAGGTACTGGCTATCCGAGGACATGTCACAACACAGGATGTCATCACACTCCTCTGTCTAGAAAAGAAAGGCGAGGGCTTGAGACAGACGGGAGGACGTCACGTTTCAAGGTTTACGTAGACGCAGGGCTCCACTGGATCACGGACAAAGCTCAAAGTTGAAGACCATGGGTTCACAGGCTCAGTCCTTAATCCCTACCCACTATAAAATGTCGTCTCAGCGGTATCTTCCAGTTCTCTCTGCGACCCATCAGGTAGGGATCTGGGGCCACAAGCACTGAGGGTTTTAGTCCATACACCCGCACCCCTCCCCGTCTCCATACCTGGAACAACCTTCGGAGAGAAGGGGCCGCTAAACAATGGATTGTGCTATCCAGCGTGGCCACAAAATAAGTCCCTGGCAAAGGGAAGAACAGCGTGAGAGATCAGGAACTGAGCCTGTGTTCTCATTCCACTGTCTTCAAGTAGACTAGGGAGAGAGAAACTACCTACTCTGCCTCAGTTTCCCCACCTTATAAAAACCAGACACCTGTCATCTGCTGCCACCAGAGCCGCAGCCAGGACATGGTGATCTATCCCTGAACAAGCGGCCCACGAGATGTGACTACTGCCACTTCTGTCTACCTGTACCTTCAGACTTCATTCTATATGGAAGTCCTCGTGGTCGAGAGTAGCATAAGAAAGAGGGGGGAGAAGATAGGAACTCATGGGGCCACCTGGCTTCTAACTCACCACAAGAGGCAAACTTGAGGTTGTGGCGTTGTGAGTATCTCTGGACAACAGCTTTGTATTTCTCCTCGCGGTGCGCGTGCAGGATGACAATATCACTCATCTTCAAGCCCGCTAGCACCCACTCCTCACTGGGGTCATGGGTAATGCTAAGGATCTGTGGGAAGTTTGGGGCAGTGCTCAAAATTGCCAGTGCCCTCATGTAAGCCCTGGCCTCAGATTTACACTCAGCACGCCCCCTGCCCACATCCAAGATCCCACCCTGGGGTTGAACTTGGTCCTGAAGGCAACCAAGCAGGCACCTCATAGCATAAACTGTGTTGCTGCAGCTTCTGGTAGCTCCTCATGTCCCATGAATACAGGATGGTATCTTCACCACCTGTCCAGAACTTAAAGCCTGTGATGTCCACGCAGCGGGATGCGTAGGGAGGAACTTCATGCTTCCTGGGGGGAAAACAACTCAGGGTCTTTAGCAAGGTTTGCTCCCCGGCCCAGCATGTGGAAGGGTTAGGACTGTACAGGGTTAGAAGGTACCTAGATGTGCCTTCCAGGCTGTTTGGCATAGCCCTACTGCCAAGAAGGCAAAGTGGAGTCTCATTCTCAAGTCCTTCCCAAGACACCTGAGTGGCTCTGGAGAGGGGTCCTACCTGATCAAGATTTGGTTCCGCACATCCCAAATCTCCACGAATCCATTGAAAGAAGCCAAGCAGATGTGTGCATCAGAAGAGAGGGCCAAGGAATAGCATATGGAGCCTGTGGAGGCCATCTGGGCCCTGATTTGGGGTGTAGGAGCCAGGTCCCAGAGAGTAAGAGCCTGGGCCATTCCCCCTGTGATCAGACTCTGCTCATCGGGGAACAGCTTGCAGGTAAGTACACGGTTCTGAGGGTCCTGGTGAAGAACACACGCTGTCAATACCCTTGGCAGTGCTGAGGACAGAGGCCCTGGTTGACTTCTCTAAACCTCACCTGAAAGTCCAGCTGGGCCTGAGGCGCTCTGTCCGAGGCATGCAACGCATCTTCATCCCACACCCGGATGTAGCCAGTACCACATGTGTACACGTGGTGCGGAGCACTGCTAACGGCGATAGCGCTCACTCGCTTCCCATGGTGGAGAGTGCCAACCCTCCAGGAACCACGTGGGGACTTCCGTGTGACTATGGCCTCATCTGGAATCGGAGGCTGGGGAGATGACAGGACCGCTCAACCACGACAGAGGCCTGCTCTACCCCTACTCCCCAAATTTCTAAGCTTCGTTCTCATAGCAGCTTAGTTCAGGGGTCCCCAAATCACATCTCTTGTAGAAGTGACTCTGTGGTTAAAGGTCCTATTTATCGAAATGACAGAACAAGGAGAGCAGCCTCATTAAGAAGATGCTATCCCAGGTCACGCCAGAGAAGGGACTAGGGGCGTGCAAACCATTTCTCCACCGAGGGGTGTGCAAACACACTGCTTTTCCATTGGAGGGTAGGCGGGAAAGAAAGATGTTGTCTAGGTGACAAAACATGACATTAAGGTACTTACAATGGCTTTGAGGAATGACCAGACTTCTCTGTTGGGCAAGGACGAAGAACAGAACTGGCCTGCAGGGAGACAGCCACACCCACAGGTCATGGACCAGGTGTCACCACATCAGACACCAAACCGGGTACCTCACCCACCATCTGGGCTTCAGCTTGGGCTGCCCTTCCCCACTTCCCAACCACACTGTTAGGGCCTACACTTACCAGCCGTAGCTCCTGGGTAAGAACTGTGACGGAGGAGAAAGAGGGAGGAGATGGCATGAAGGGCGGAACTTTGTGCTGAGCCCTCTCTGCCCAGGACAGTCCGTCACCCTGCCCAGCTTCGCTCATGACAGCCTTACCCTGAGCTGGTTCCTCCTTCTGGTTCTGCTTCTGAGAAGTGCATGGGCTGGAGCCCAGCTGTGTCCTGGGCCTGGGGATCCCACTGCTGCTGGGTCATACTGTGCATTTCCTGGTAAACAGGGTCACGCTGAACTGAGGGACATGGGGGCAGCTGGGGCATTCCCTGTGCACTGTCCAACTGGTGGTGGTCTTGTTGCCATTGATGAGAAAAAATACCAGCGCTTTCTGGCATCTTCTTTATCGCCTCTGTCTCATCATAAATCCTGAGTATCTTGAACGAGTCCTCTTTTTCTTCACTCATGTTCTTGGGTCAATCAAGTGAATGAACCATCTGGCTCTAGGGACGCAGCAACCGGATCCTGGGTTCCCAGTTCATCCTGATCTCCTGTACTATGAAAGAGAGCAGGAAAGGGCTGGGAAACAGCTTCATCGCAAGTGCTTATTGCGCCAGTATAAGAATTCGAGTGCAGATTCCCAGCCTCCATGTACAGAGTCAAGCATGTATCTGCAATCCTAGTGCTAGGCTAGTGGAGGCAAGGGACCCCTGGGGCTTGTTGGCCAGCCATACAACCTGAATTGGTAAACTTCAGGTTTAGTGAGAGACCCTGTCTCAAAAAAAAAAAAAAAAAGGAGATGGGCCAGAGAGGTGGCCCCACACGCCTGAGAGCCCAACTTCAGTCCTCAAACCTATGCAAAGGTCCAGATGTGGTAGCACACATCTGTAATCTCAGTACTTCTACAGCAAGATGGGAAACAGAGACAGAATTATCCAGAAGTCTGAAGACCAGCTGCCCTGGAGCACGCAGTATAACAACAGACACAGAGAGACCCTGCCTTAAAATAAGACAGAAGCAGAGAACCAACTCCTGAGAAGCTGTCCTCTGGCCTCCACGTGCGTTCTGTGGCGTGTGCACACTCGTATTCATGTGACATGCACACATGCTCACCCCAAAAAACAACTTCAAAAAAAAGTGGAGATTGTTTTAGGAAGACAGCTGACACCAACCTTTGACCCACACATGCATGCACACATGTACACACACTTCCACACACAGGAGCGTGTACACACACACACACACAGAGGGAACAAAGGCAAAAATCAGGTTTATTGTGCAGAGTCTGTTTGGAATGTTCTGGAAACACCTCTTTGGATGTAAAGCCTCAAAAGATCAGCTACCAATTAACTTTGGCAGACATGGGCTGTGTTTCTGTGTGGATGAAATGAAACCCACCCTTTAATTTGGACATCCCCATATCAAATGTGGCTCATCCCCAAATGTGCCCAGACCCTAAGGCAACAGGAAGTCCACACAGAGACCCTGGGGTGTCTCACCCATGACAACGTGGAGGAGCTTGGGACCATGCACTCTAATATAAGACGCTCTGTCTGGGGAGAACAGGAGGCAGAGTGAGAAGACTCGGCCCGGCAGTGACTGACATGTGCTGCACCCTGCGACAATGCTAACGGGAACAGATTCACATCTGTGGAGCACCGTAGGAGGCCAGGAGCAAATGAAGGACAGAGGACGGGGTGCTCAGCTGCAGCCTGTGCAGGGGAAATTGTGGATTTAAGACAGGCCGGAGCCCTCTTTAGAAAGATTCTACTCCAATCTATCCAACAGCTAGCCCTAGAAATGTCCCTGGGAAACCCCAGGTTTTTCTATTAAGAGGACCTAACAGAAACCTCAGAGACATGGAGAGCCATGGGGGGAGAATCTTCGTTTCAGAAGAATGGTTTTGACAGGCAGGCTCACTCAGTGGCGCTCATGAAGGTCTCCAACAGAAAACCAGCAGCCTGACAATGGTTAGTTGTGTATTTGGCCCTGAATTAAATGCTTTACATGAAAATCTAATTTTTTCCTTGCCACCATATGCTCTATATTTATGGCTGTTGGTTGGTTGCAGATCAAACTCCGGGCCTCCCTTCTACATGCTAGGCAAGCACTCTATCACTGAGCTGAACGCCCAGCCTCTCTGAACCATTTTATAGATATTGTTTTGAGACAAGGTCTTGTTCTGCAGCCCAGCCTGGCTTCAAACTTCTGACTATCGTCCTGCCTCAGCATCCCAAAGACTAGGGCACATTTCATAGATTAATAAGCCAAGCCCAGAGCAAGTGAGCCCTAGGTCCCAGGACGAGTGGCTAGAAAGAACAAAGCTGCTCCCACTGGGTTCTCCCTGGCTCACTTCTTACCGCCCACTAGAAGGAAGAAGGCAATACCCACCGTAAGAGCCAAGGCACATACTCTGACCTAGCACCCCCAGATTCACAAAGCTGTCCTGTAGACACAATCAGAGATAGACAAAACGATATGCGTGCAAGCTGGAGCAAAACCCAAACACCACAGGTGAAGACTGGTGATATAGATAGCACATCCTCACAGAGGAAGGGTGCACAGTAGTTAAAATTGTTAAAGTAGTTAAAATCTAATCTACTATTAGAGGGGGGCATTACAGAGCTCAGAATAATGTTCAAAATATATTTAACTTTGTGTAAGAAAGGGTGGAGATTAGAATTTATTTTCATGTGTGTACAAGAGATTAAGAAGAATAGCTGCGTTTCCAATATAGAAACTGGAAAATGGGAACAAGGAACAGGAGGGAGGGACAGCCACAAGACCCGATACTGCTTTTCCTTCTTTGGGGACATTTCAACCTATATTAGAAACTCTTGAACCGGGAGCCAAATTCTCATATCTCCCAAAGCACAGCCCCCGTGATTCCTAATTAGTTCCGTCATTTGCTCACTCAACACGTTTTCTCTGGAAGGCGTCAGGCTGCCTTTAACTGGGGACACCCGGGCTAGTTTAGTCCTGGTGAGAATCAGCAATGGGGCTCAGGCCTCTGCACCTAGCAGAATGAGCATTCCAATAAGTGAGGGCCCTGCTGCAAAGGCCTCCACATTCCAGATAAGTGAGGGCCCTGCTGCAAAGGCCTCCGCATTCCAGATAACTGAGGGCCTGGCTGCAAAGGCCTCCGCATTCCAGATAACTGAGGGCCTGGCTGCAAAGTCCTCCTATGGAGGTTGGGAAAAGCTTAAAGACAACTAAATTACTTAACTGGGGCTTCTGACTTCAAGTTAACCAGATTTTCACCATCAAAGTAAGACAAGGCTTTTGAAGGTGCAATTCACGGGCTCCCCTCTCTTCTCTCCAAGAGTGGGAAATTCTGCACTCACAAATAACCTGGGGCAGGAAACTCACCTCCAAAAGCAGGTCGAAGTCTAGAGATTAAAAGTGGAGAGTGAAGACCCAGCTAGGCTTGGATCCACTCTTCCACCTCCCTGGGGAGGTGGGGAGGGGGAGGAGGGAAGAAGGAGTCCTGAGGTAAACACCGGCCTAACAAATACTGAAGCCCTGGGTGAGAACCCAGTCAAGTGTTTGGATCCTGAAGGGCTGGTCAACATCAGGGTGTGGCCACACACGTTCCGAGCTCCTGTGTCTCTGAGTGGAGAACAAGGCAGGAATCTCTCCAAATAAGTTCAGCAGATAGAGTGAGAAACTTCAGGGGATAAACCTGTGGTTTCAGCTGACCTAGAAGAGCCTTATCTGGTCAAAAGGCACTTGCGGTTAAATTCTCACCTCCAGATGAATTCACTTTGCTCCCAAGGCAGAACTTCAGTAAGCTGAAAGCGGGGAGTTAGGGGAAGGGGGTGGCATTCCCTCTCCTTCTCCCTGGTCTGGCTTTGTGCCTGTCATCTTTGACCCGAGCTTCTGAAATTCACCGCTCAAGAGGCCTTGCATTTCTGTGGCTGTCTTGTCTAGGGATTCTTGAATTTGAGCATCCCACAGAGTCCTCCGGAGGGCTTGATGAGAGTGCCAGCCCCACTTCCCAGACGTTCTGATTCAAGGGCTCGGGCGCTGAGAATCTGTGCTTCTAAGAGGGTGCTTGGCGATGAAGGCCGTGGTTAGGAGAAATGGTTGTGGCAGCGGGGATAACGGAGAAAAACTGGTGATGTCGGGATGGGAGCAGTGATGGAGATGGGGAGGGGGTGGGGAGAGGATGGGGATAGGGCAGAGGTGAGGTGGGTGGTGGTATCGTAGATCAGGATGATGTTACTGCAGTAGTGGTGGTGGTGGTGGGAGTGGTGGTAAGGGCTGTAAAACTGGTAGTAATGAGAGTGGTAATGCCATTGTAGTTTTGGCGACAACGGTGGCAATGTGGTGGTAGTGATTGATGGTGCCAACCGTGGCGACATGGTAGTGAGCATACGACGTTAGGCGCTGCTGGCGCTGTTGGTTGGAGCACCGTTTGAGACGTTCCGTACGACTCTTCCGTCCTCTGGTTCCTTCCCACAGGAGGACAGTTGCAAGTGAGTCTGGATACTTCTCTCGTTCCCGATTCTGCCGCCTGCCTGTCCTCTCTCCTCACTAAATTCTCTACTCTGGTTTCTTCTTCATCCCTTGGTCTTCTTCTTTTGAAACAAAAACTCTGAAAAGACTGCTGCTTAGAAGTTCCTTGCCTCCCATTCCTAAAATCTCGTCTATTCCTCTTGTCCCCCTCTTCTTGTCCCCAAGACTTCTGAAGTTACCTATCACCTTCATTACCCAGATCCCCTAGCCTGGTATTTAAGATGCATCCCCATCTGCTCTCCTCCTATTTTTCCCTGTTTCTGCCACACCCAACCACGGTTTCATGAGCAGCCTGCTCCCCCTCCGGCTTTGCCCATGCTTGTCCTTCATCTGGGAATGATGCTTCCGATGCTTCCTGCTGCTCACTTGTGTATCAAACAGATGCCCCCATGCACTCTGAGCCAAGTGTGTGCCATGAACCAGAAACCAGGCCAAAGCCAAGCCCACATCCTTGAGGAACTGCTGCATAAAAGTGGGGACAGTGCCTGTGGTCGGTGCAGCCCTGGGAGGAAAGAACTTCTAGAAAGGGCCGCTGCGTTTCTCATAAAGTGGTGCCCTGTTTATCACAGCCTGTTGCATCGCCACCCAGGTGGGAGCTTCACATCAATCCCTGTTCTTACACAATCCACCTTGTGGCGAATTATCATGTATTGATTCTCACAGGAAACACAAGGTGAGGCAAACAGGGCCTGGGTTGTCCCCAGTTTGGAACCATAAGAATTAATGGGGGGGGCAGCCAGAATCCCACAGATTCTTGTCTAAAACCAGAATACAAATCCTAGTCCTGGCGGCTATGATTAATGTTGTAAGAAGTATTTCATATGAATCTTTTTCTATCAAATACTGTAAAACTTGTGTTTAGGGCAAGGAACTCAAATCTTTTTCTGTTTGTTTGGTTTTTAAGACAGGGTCTCACTGTGTAGTCCTGTTTGGGCTGGAGGGCCTTGAACTCAAAAGAAATTCGCTTGTCTGTTTCCTTAGTGTATACAGAGGCGTAGGCAGGGAAGAGCCTAGTGAATCTGGTCAGTTTCAGGGGCTTCTGAAACTTATTGGTTTGTCTTCTTCCTGAGGGTCTTTTGTTCTCATATTTTGTTTGTTTGCGGGTTTTGTTTGTTTTTGGTTTTTTTGAGTCAGGATTTCTATGAATGTAGCCCATAGGATTTCTATGAATGGCCATGTAGGCCATTCTGGAACTCTCTCTGTAGACCAGGCTGTCCTGGAACTTACTCTGTAAACCAGGCTTTCCTGAATTACCTTTTTATTGATTCTCATAGAAAACACAGTGAGACAAACAGGGCCTGGGTTTGTCCCCAGTTTGTAACCTTAAGAATTAATGAGGAGGGCCGGAATTTCAGAGTCTTGTCTCAAACAAGTTGAGAATTCTTCAAATATCTTTCAATAAGAAGGGTACCGGTAGCCAGGTGTGGCGCATACCTTTAATCCCAGCACTCAGGAAGCAGAGGCAGGTGGATCTCTGAGTTCAAGGCCCAAAATTCCCTAAGGAGACCAGGTTGGCCTCTGCCTACTCAGTGCTGGGATTAAAAGTTTATCTCCCTACCTTCTAAGACAGTTAGGTTGATATTTTAATTCTCCCACCAGGCAAAAAACTTTTACTTACACGAAAACTCTGCTACAATTTCAGATTAAAGCGAGCGATTCCCTCCCCTACTTCATCTCCTCTGCACTGTTTCAAACTCAGTCGATCTCCGAAGAGCTGAGACCAGAGTCCAGCCCATGGGGAAAAGACACAGACGGTCACCGCAGCATTAGAATAAAAATCACATGCACTTCCTGGCTTGGGGTTCTTGCTCTTCCAAGCACACCGTCTTGACCATGAGTAAAGTCTTGTCTTGCTGAGACATTTCTGTTGGCGTGATGATCTAGTTATTGTCCCTGGGCTTAGTTCTAACAATGTGTTTGGGTGTTTTGCCTGCATGTATGTCTACGAGCCATACATGTGCAGTGTCCAGAGGCCAGAAGAGGGCGTCAGATCCTCTGGAACTGGTTTTATAGATGGTTGTGAGCATCCATGAGGGTGATGACAATCAAGTCTAAGTCCTCTCTAGAAGAGAGCAGTCTGTGCTCTCAACCACTGAGCTATCTCTTCACACCCCCATATGACATTTAAAAATATTTGCAAGAGCCTTACTGAGCCATAGGAGTTGGCTACATTTTTCATATATGGCTGTGTATGTGTGTGTGTGTGTGTGTGTGTGTGTGTGTGAGCATGCGTGCTTCTCCCCCTCGTTGCCCTCTGTTCAAATGTACCAGTTCAGTGTTCAGACCTCCCCCTCCATCCTAGACTATCTCAGTGACTGCCAGTTCCGTTCTTAGCAATCTACCGCCCTACTCAAGTGCACTGCAGCCACTCTATCCAGTTTGCTGGCGCCAAATGTCCTCATTCATGCTCCCTCCTCCATCTCCCTGCAGCTGGGTGAAGACTAACCCTTCGTCCAGCACATCTGGGTTTGTGATTGTATTCACCTTCAGCTCCTCCTGGAACCTCTGTTTCCTGACACAGAAGCTTCCCTACAGGGTAGCCATGAGAGAGGACTGGACAGTTGACAGAGTATCGTGATCCAGAATCTTTGCCCTCCCTAGAAATCCTGGCCGCAAAGCTACGCTCGCTGGACCATAGGGGACCTCCCCAACACCAGCTCTGTCTCTCTGAGCCCCAGATGAATATGTGTTTACTTGGAATCTAGCATTGCTAAAGCTCTCACTGTCTAGGGCCCTTGCCCTTGTTCCTTGCCCATCCACTCAAAAGAAAGCCAACTCTTCCTCCAGAAACGGAAGTTTGATTGCACCTCCTGCAGTCTTAGAAAAGCTGTTGATGGTTAGCTCCATTTTCGGATGGGGAAACTGAGGTTTGGGCTAATAGTCTGCAATGATGAAAAGTTGTAGAAGTGGAAAATGATGGTAGTTGTTCAATGCTGTGCTGTCGCCGAACTGTATATTTTGTAGAGTTAAAATGGTGAGTTTCATGTTGTTTATGTATTTTACAAGAAAAAAGGCAATAAGGAGTTAAAGGTCTGTAAGCCCCCATACCGTGAGCCCTCTTCCTCTTCATCCAGTGAACTCCAGGTAGTTTGGCCTGTGGTTTCTTACCTTTGTGACCCTAGGAGGGCCAGTCAGCTGTAGATGGCCCCTGCCCAGGGAATATAGGCAAATGAAGACTCTGGCTGATGGGTCAGCCACCTATGTGTCATTAGAATCAAGGACATTGACCTGCAGACCTTCATTGAAGGCTCCGCTCTCTGGTGGACAAGTTCAGAGCAGCTCAAATCTAATTTCCAGCCATCAGGCCCTTGAGGCTCCTATGCAGTTTACTGGAGGGCTATGCTCAGAGCATTGCTCCCCTCCACTTCCATCCCTGACTCCGGGAGCTTCTCTTTCAACACGGTGCCACCGCCGAGAGAGTCACCTAGACACTTGCTGATGAAAATGTATCAACAATAATGTCCACAGGTACCAAACACTCCCCTCTTCCTAATACAGTGTGAACACCTGCAGTTCCAAGTCCAGAGGGCAGGGGGCAGTAAAGAGTAAACTGAGGTCACAGGATGGGGGAGGGTGCAAAAGAGAGGTGACTTTTGCTCTGAGCAGCGTGGAGGAGGAACCTTCTAGAAGGAAGGGATGACACTGGGTCAGGCCACTCCTCATTATTCATCTGGTCCTTTGATGTCACGGGGAACCCCTAACTCTCCCATCCTTATCAAGTTGCCTGTCACACAAGGTCCTTACTCACTCCCTGAGACTGAACACTTGCATTCCAAATCCTACTGACCGGTTTCTGTCCAGAATTCTCCTTTTTCTTCCTAGGGACCTTTGAGCTAAGCTTTGAGCTGTCCCAGTCAGGGCCTTGGGGCGACACCCCACATCACAGCTCTTCCAGTGAGCTCCTCCAACTGAGAGCTGTTTCATTACTGGACTGCAAGCCTTCTTTAAAGGCAATGTGGTGGGCTCACGGGTGCGCTCCCCTCTGTCACTCCCGCAGCCCTCTGGTCTCGCCATCTTCTCGGTCTCCCACAGGAGAGAGACCCAGGGGACATTTTGCCACCACCACCTCAGACGCAACAGCTCCAGGGTCCTGGATCTGAGGCAGCTGTTGAAGGACTTTTCCTCAGGTTCAGGGCAGAGAAAGAGCCTGGGTCCTGGAGCTGAGGCAGCTGTTGAAGGACTTTTCCTCAGGTTCAGAGCAGAGAAAGAGCCTTCGTGTGGCCGAGGGGACCTGGTAGCCACACGCTGGTAATTTGGTCACTTGCTCCCCGCCATGCTGGAAACACCCACGCGAGGTGCGCTGCCTCCTTGTGGCAACAGAAGCGGAAGACAACTCCTAAAGGCTGCTGTGCCCTCCCTCCTCCCTGTGCAGGGTACACCAAGCCCCCACACAGGGCTCAAGTCCCTGTCCCCTTGCACCACGACACCAGCAGCAGGCGGGTACAGCCCTGCGCGAGAATGGCGGGAACTGTGCAGCTGGTGCACGCAGCTCCCGCCTGCTCTGGGAGGAGCCCTTGGAGGCTCCTGCCCTGGTGACGAATGGGCGGCCCCAGCCCGGGTGTTGAGGTGGGGAGGTAGAGGCTGGAGGACACGCTGGGGGTCGTCCACAGAACAGTTTCTTACCGTAACTGGCTGCAAGTCTCTGGGGGCACCTGGGGGCCGCCGCAGGAGACACTTGGTGCAGTGTGCAGTTGACGAAGGCTTCCTGGAGGCTGGGCTTGGACGGAGGGTGGGTGGGATTTCCGCGCCCGATAAGGGGTGGGAGCCACACCTCAGGAACATGGCAGCCATTTGAAGACCCGCCCTGCTGTGGTGGATGAAACTAGAGCAGGAAGTGGCGCCCTGATCTCCACAAACAAAAGAGTAGGCTGATGATTCCCACCTGCCCTTCTGGTTCAGGCCTTAGCGGGGAGCCCCCAGACCTGGAAGGTGCTCTACCTGTGGGGAGCCACCTCATCTGTAGTGTGTGGGACTAAAGAAAGCAGGGAACTTCCCAACCCTGTGGCTGCATGCTTCTCCCCGAAAAGGCCAAAATCGGCTCATCTCTCGTTGTCTGATTCTTGACTAAGCGGAAGGGGTTGTCAGGCATTCTGAAATAGAACGGAATGCTCTCCTCAGTTCCTGGTCAGGCCAGACAACAGACAAAAGTGGAGAGAACTCAATGTCTTTCCAGAAGCCCTTCTCGGACTCATTATGCCCAGGTGTTTTCTGAGGGTGACAGGTTTGGGCAGGAGGGCACCCTGTACCCCGGAGACAGATGTTCTGATCCAGACTGAAAGAAAAAGATTGTAACAGACATCCAGCTGGGCCTAGAGCCCGGGATGAGAAATGTTACCGTGTCGAAACAAGAGTCTCCAGGGCTGAGGCTCCTGTGATCATTGGAAGGCATCGCCTGGACTTGGGCAGGTGTGGCTGGGGTACCTTCCTAGTGCTGAGGCTTGATAGCTTGACGCTCTGCAGGTGACAAACAGGTTTCTTCACCTGCCAGTCTTTGGGGTCTGAGCAGATAAACTTGTCCTGGACAATAACAAACCTACAGGGAGGGAGAAAATATCACTGACTGTCAAAGCGTAGCCTTCCAGAGGCCCTGGGGTCAGCCACGTCCTCATCTTGGCCAAGACTGAGCCTCAAGTTCACACAGGTTCCAGCTGGTGACAGATCCGGAACGTCGGACTGTCTGACCTCAGTGCTCTTGGATGGATGCCTCAGCAGTCTGTGTTGAGGGAACAGGACTGGGGACTCCTGGTCCTGTCTTCGACTTCATCCCAGATACCAGCGGCAGATAGACATGACCTAGCTTACAGGTGGAGCAAGCACTGCCTTCTGTTAGTGAGACAGAACTTTGCCTGGGGAAACTCAACACACACTTCTATAGGGAGCCCACGGCACACCAAAGTATGGATACCGCTGACGTCCAAACTGACGAACCAGTGAGTTTTATCAGCGTTACTTACAGGAGCAGAAATGACTCAAAGGCAGCTGCATCACCAAAGCCCACCCTAGCACGGGTCACAGCTCACAAAACTGGGAACCTGGAGCCCCCTGCCCAAGCTGCGGGGCAGCTCGAGAGGTTGGGGGGGTCCCTTTCAGAAGCCTGAGTTGGCCTACACCTCTTTCAGACAGCTCAGTTGGTGTCTGCTTCTTCAGGCAGCTGCTCTCATCTCGGAGTCTTTGCAGCGCAGCTTCCTTCTGTCTGAAGGGATGCTCAACTTTGCTGACACTGGCAAGGAGGGGCCTAGTGAATCTGATCAGTTTTAGGGACTTTCTGAAGCTCTTTTGAGTTGGATGGAATATTTCATCTGATGTCTCCCCTGCCTGGGATTAGAGACAGATGAATCATTGATTTGCTGTGTGACGAGAGGGTCTCCTGTTCATCCCTGGGCCTCAGTCTCTCTGTTAATAAAATAAGGACTTGAACCCATGGCTTACAGCCCCTCTGGGTCTCATGGTGTATGGTCTGAAACTACTCCATCAGCACAAGTGGCAAAGGGAAGGAAGGGTCCTGCTCCTTTCTCTCTCCAAGGCATGATAGAAGGGGCAGGGCTTGCCTCTATCCATGGCCAGCTCCCAGGAGCACCAGGACTCAGGGCCATTTTACACAGTGGCATCACTGAGACACTCCACTAAGGTCCTATTCCTTGTCACCAGCTGATAGGGATGGCTTGTTTGAAGTGCTCGAGGCAGCACTCCTGGCCAATATTGGTGGCTGAAGTTCTAAGACCAGAACAGGCAGGCTTTGGGGCTGCGGTGTGTGTTATGTGTGCTCCTGGGAGTCTGTGTATGTGGGGATCTGTGGAGGACACTGTCAGTGGCAGAGCCTATGTGCACACCTTTATGTCAATGGGAGAGAGACTTGGAGCTTGACCTTGCATGAGCACACACACACATGTGTACACATCTGTGTGCACACCTAACTGTGCAGCAGATAATCTTCACCACCACACTTGGGAAGTAGGTTCTACTACCACCCCATTTTGCACATGACAAAACAGAACCCGGAGATAGGGATACACTCCTCCGACCTCAGCTGTGTACAAAGAAATACGATATCCAAAAAGCAGCACATAGGCAAAAGAATGCTTTTGTGAATTTTTAAGTATTGCCCCCAACTGTCCTCTGACTCTCCTATGGGATAAATTTAATTTGACTGTCTCGAACCAGCTGGGACTCAATCTTTTCACAGCCCTACAAACTTGAAGCTAACGTGTGGGGGGGGGGGGGGGGGGCCCCCAAAGCCTACAAGAGGGTAGTTCCTGGTGACAACCACCAACCTGCTTTCTAGAACAGCTACCTGCCTTTGACCGTCTTTCTACAGCTAGATATGGGTGTCTATTGGGGCTTATGCTCTTGAAACCTTGCCTTTCAGCTGGATCACCACCCCACACACACACACCTGTTTCTGTCTGAATGTCCGCCTGTCTGCCTACTCAAGAATAAAACAGACACTAATTTTCTGGGAAATTTTCTTACAAAGGTAAGACCAGACGCAGCCCCTGTCTTTGCTACCATTGGTCAGGGTTCAAACCACAGTAACTTACAATCTTTTTGCTACAACCCCATAAAATCCTCAGTGGGGAAAGGTAGAGACTGGTGAATTACCTGAGTTGTCCTGGGCCCCTAGTGCCTGAGGGCCCCTTCAGACCCTGCCAGCTCTTGCCTACATTGGGCATGCTGCAGAAGGGGCCCCAGGAAGCAAGTGAGCAAGGGCAGCATCTGTAGGCAAGTCAGTGTACCAGGAGTCCAACCCTTAGTGCTGGAGACAGATGACCATTAGAATCACATCCTCCCACAGCCCTGATCCATCCATCCCGCAATGGAGAATCTGGGTGATTCTATCAGAAGACAGTCATGAACTATTTGTAGCCTCCCAAAGGACACTGAATTAAAGACAGAGCAAGCAATAATAATAATAAGAGAACTGTGGCTCTTTCAGTGGGGTCATTCTTTGGATTCTCTATCAACAAAAGCAAAATAGCAATCTTCTAGAAGTAGGTTCGCCAATAGCTGTGCCTCCGGGAGTGGGCAGCTCCCATGTGGCTTGAGCCTGGGGTCAAGATAGGTGGTAGCTGATTGAGCAGGGCAGGGGCAAAAGAGAAGATCATGACTAGGTACTGTGGGCAAGGCTCATTGCTGGGAAATTCAATACTCTAGAGAAACTACTGTGTGTGACGTATAAACTAGTCCAAGGTAGTCCACAGCTTTATCTCTATCTGAAAGCAAGCTGACTAAAGACCAGATTGGGTTATCCTCTCCTGAGCTGGGCCCTGGACCATAAGAGGCCAATGGGACTTAGTCTCTATCCTTACCAGCTGCACTGTTTCATAGATCTATCCTGGCTAGTTCTATGACAACTTGACACAAGCTAGAGTTGTCTGAGAGGAGGGAGCCTCAACTGAGAAAATGCCTCCATATGACCAGGCTGTAGGCAAGCCTGTAGGGCATTTTCTTAATTAGTAATTGATGTAGGAGAACCAAGTCTATTGTGGGTGGGGCCACCCCTAGGGTGGTGGTCATAAGAAAGCAGACTGAGCAAGCCAGTAAGCAGCACCCCTCCATGTCTCTGGGGTCCTGCCCTGTTTGAGTTCCTGTCCCGACTTCCCTCCGTGAAGGACTGTGACCTGGAAGTCCTTTCCTTCCCCAAATTGCTTTTGGTCATAGTGCTTCATCACTGCAATAGTAGCCATAGCTAAGATGAGATCTCAGCACAGAAGAGAGGAGGCTGCCTCTATTGGAAGTGTCCCCTCCGTCCCCTCCTGTGGGCATGTGTGCAAGCATGTACTGGACAAGTCCTCCGTCTGTGAGGGTGTTATGGTTGTTTGTGCAGGTGTGTGAGAACAGACTGTGCTGTGCAGATAGGTGACTGTAGGTGAGACAGAAAGCACACGGGACATACCTTCCCTATTAGTCATGTGTGTTTTGTCCCCACACCTACCCATATAGATGTTTGAGTGTGGGCCTTCTATGCATGTATTTGAATGTGCTGGAAGCTTCCCCACGGTTAGAACTCTCTCTTTAGATGAGCAGGCAAGGTAACCTACTTGGGGCAGAGGAAGTTAGGGAGGCATACTACTGCCCTTGGTGGGCTCTGGATTGAGGCAGAGAGTGAGCCTTGTACCTAAAGCATACCCACTGTGTCTGCTCAGAACTGCATTGAACCATTCTCTTCACAGGTAGGAAGCCAGTCCAGCAAGGCACAAGGGACGTTTCCTAGGACCCCTGGTTTTCTCCAGCTGCTGGCAGGAACAGAAATCCACGTGACAATCCTGGCTGGAGTCTCCAGAATTCTTCACAGTTGTATTTGTTGCACCTCCTCACACACACACCCCAGGCAGGGGTCGCATGTGGACTCACAAGCCTGCTCCATTCTACAGTGACTGCAGCACCAGACTGTCTTTCTCCAGCATGCCATTTTGTCTCAAGGGCTCTCTACTTCATTTAAATAGGCTGTCAATGTCACATGCCACACAATTTCTTAACACTGGTTATCCTGATTAGAGTAACAATGGGCCCCGTTGGCTCACATAGTTGCAAGCTCAGTCTACAGCTGGTGAACTGCTTGAGAAAGATTAGCTGTGTCTTTGTTATACCAAGTGTGTCACTGGGGCTGGGCTTTGAGGTTTCAAAGGCCCATTCCAGGTTCAGTGTCTGTCTGCAATCAGGATATAATGCCTGAAAGCATTACTGAAATTATTTGACCAGCACCATTCCTGCACGCATGCATGCTGCCACACTCCCCACCATAATGGACTAACACAGTACACAACTGTTAGTAAGGCTTCAATTTATAAAAGTTACCTTAGTCGTGGTGTCTCCTCACCGCAATAGAACAGTAACTAAGACACTGAGTACAACATGAATTCCCTTGGAAAGATCCACACCCAAACAAGAGAACCTATTATGAACGCTGTCTGCCCCCACTTCATCCTACACAAAGATGTTTTCATGATGTTATACTTACCAACATGGATTTTTTTTACACCAATGAGAACAGAGGCTTGGTCTGAAACATTCGTTATCTAAGACATTAGATGTTGCATCTCAACTCAAACTTTCAGCTCTTCCCCAGAGTAACTGTACAAAGTACATTTTTGCTTATTTTTCAAGACAGGATTTTTCTGTGTAGCCCTGGCCATCCTGCAACTTGCTCTGTAGACCAGGTTGGCCTTGAGCTCACAGAGATCTGCCTGTTACTGCCTCAGTTTTCTGAGTGCTGGGACTAAAGGTGTATGCTACCACCACCCGGTGCAAAGTACATTTTTATTGTGCAGTGTAAGCAAGAAATACTAGGACTAAGCTTCCTCAAAAAATTTCACAAGATCATAGAAAGTTGGGTATTGCTTTTTCCACTGTTCTCTTCCCTGTAAAAACCTGCTCCCAAAAGTCCAAAACCTGTCAAGCTACTTCAGCTTAGTGAAGGCCAGGTCTGCACTGCTATCTAAAATTGTCTGGATTGTTTTACCTAAGTCTTATATATCTTAAGAGTATTTTGAATGTCATCTTTATTTTCTTATAATCCTAATTATAGTCCAAATTAAGGAGTAAGTATCCCACTAAAACATGATTTTCCTCAAACTCTCTGATATTTAAACCCAGGTACTTCCTCGGGCTAACCGCAGTCTCAGAAAAAAAAAAAATATATATATATATATATTCTCTCTCATTATAGAAAACAAGTCTCAACAACTTTTGAATTTGCTAGATTTATTTGTAAACACAAACTGCACACTTCAAACAATCAAAATGCTTAATTTCACTATAGGTATTTCAGTTTTTAAATTTTAATTGTTTTTATGCATGCACAGAGACCAGAGAAAAACTTGTGTGCGTGAGTTCTGTTCTTTCTACCACATGGGTTCTAGAGATTGAAATTTGGGTCAGGCTTGGCCTTTACCTGCTGAGCCATCTCACTAGGCATTCCAGAACTTTAAGATGAAGACATTTTGCAAAGAACTACTGTATGGAAGAAAAACACTGACATCCTGCATTGCCTAATGTTTGTCTGTGTTCACAGAACTGATAGCTTTCATGTTGCTGGGTCTCCATTTTATCCTGCTTACTGCTGAACTAAAGACAAACATCCACCAAGAATTCCCAAAAGGGCATAGGGGAATATGAACCAAGTAAATGGGTTTCTGCTTGTTTGATCTCTCTCCAGTTTCTAGCACAAGAGCTTCTAAAACCTTTGGTTTTCTAGTTGGTCTGAGAGGGGCCCTCTTCTGTTACTCCTAAGGTAAGTCTCTTGAAGTCATTGCTTTATGTCAAGCTGACTTATTGCGAGACTTCTAGCTAGCTCTAGGACTGGGACTAGTTGCCAAAGGAGCCGACCATGTGCTAAGAGAGTTGGAACTTTCAGCAAACTCTGTTGACTTCTGAAAGGAGAAACTTCCTACCAGTCAAGGACTTCATCAATCATGAGTACATACTGGAATTGCCATAAAAGCCCTAACAATGGGGCTCAGCAGGATGAGGCACTCCCAACTCCATGTGGGCAAAAGCACCTGCACATGAGAACCCTGTGGATCTTGCTCTAAGGATCTCTTCATGTGGCAGTTCATGTGACATTCTCATAGTCTGTAGAGTAAATGGTAACTGTAAATTGTCTCTGTGAGCTACTACAGCAAATTGCTGAACCTGGCGGGGTTCAATTTGTAACCAAATCAGAAATGTAGGACTCATCACTAGTGTCTGAAGATGCAGGAGGGAGAGGCAGTCTTCTCAGACTGAGCTCATTTCACCAGTAGGATGTGTATTACGAGTAGTGTGTAAACTGATATAAATTGGAAGCCATCCAGTTGGTGTCTGCAGACAACCAAACTGGTGTGGAAACCCGGATATTGGGTAGTAAGGGTGTTTTGAGAAAAAAAAAAAACATTTCCTTTGCTACCCATTAACAGTTGACAAAATGGAGAAATAACTGTTTCTTGGCTTCTTGGCAGCTTAAATGATCTTATTAATGGCTTAGATTTAAAAAAAATGGGTAAGAGACTTCAAGAGTATCATGAGAATTCCAATATTTTCATGGAACCCAAGACCACAAAGAGTTGAAATCCAGAGCAGATACATACCTTCAGGATATAGCCATGTTTGTAGAGTTCAGACACTACAAAATAGGAACTCTAACATGCTATTTTGTTAAATCTATTTTATGCTTGTATGACAGGCATCTATAGCAAATATAGCATATATAATCAGAGGGCTGCATAGTATTGGGGGGATATGCATATCATATATTCAATGTGACATGCAAAAAATGTCTTCACTAATTTTTACTCCTTGGGGTACTACTAAAGCAGAGCACTTCTTTAGAACACATGATTTTGAAGCACGGCCTATTAATACCACTGTTGATTTTTAAGGTATCTTTTGTTAAAAGCTGAATGCTAGATATTACACATTATATCACAAGTTTTACAAGGTGTTCCCAGTTTTGTGTGTATGCTTTACATTTCAAACTTATTTGGAATTATTTACAACAAAACACATGGGTTTATTTTTGAATGAGTCATTTGCCAGCTTTTTTTTTATCGTTCATCTCTACTTTGGATCTGATTTTTTTTAAAAATATTTTTATTTATATTTTACGTCTGAGTGCTCTGTATGTGTGCCTGCAGGCCAGAAGAGGGCATCAGATCCTACTAGAGATGGTTGTGAGCCGCCATGTGGGTGCTGGGAATTGAACTCAGGACCTTTGGAAAAGCAGCTGGTGCTCTTAACTGATGAACCATCTCTCCAGCCCCGGAATCTGATATTTTTAAGGCTTCTATCACTTTTTTTAAAATGTTTACCCCACCCTTTTTAAGGGAAGTGTACACTCTTATTGTCAAAAAGCAGAAAGAAATTGATTTGTCTCCACCCCTTTTGCCTGTTTCCTTTGGTTTTCCTCAGTGGAAAATACTTAATTTCCTCTAGTCCCACAAAATAATTATTCCTAGAAAATCTACTTTTCCTAATGCTGCTGGATAGGATGTTTTCTTTCATTGTATTTCCTGACTGATTACTGATATAAAACTAAGTTATTTTAGATTTAACTTTCAGCTGCTCATATAAATCTTGATTAAAAATAGAGTAAAACAGAAAAAAAAGTTTCCAAATGAAGACTGTCATAGTCATTCCCTCTGATGGTTTTCTTCCAAGTAATAATTGATGAGCCATGATCCATTCCCTATTAAACACAGGAGTATTTTGGTTGGTTGGTTGTTGCTGTTTTCTTCATCTGTTAGGATTTTTCTTCACTATGAACATCTTGATGCTGACTAAGTTGGAAACTAAACCTGAAAGTTTTCCCACATATATTACACACATAAGGCTTCTTCCAAGTATGCACAGTCTGGTGTATGATACAGTCAGAACTAAGGCTGAAGCCTTTGCCACACTCAACACATCGGAAAGGCTTTTCCCCAGTATGGCTCCTCTGGTGTCTAATTAAGTGAGCGTTGACATGGAAGGCTTTCCCACACTCACTGCACTGGAAGGGTTTCTCTCCAGTGTGGATTCTCTGGTGCACAATATAGTCAGAACTGCAGCTGAATGCCTTCTCGCATTCCATGCACTTGAAAGGTTTCTCCCTGGTATGTATTTGTTGATGCCTTGTTAACTTGGCATTGATACTGAAAGCTTTGCCACATTCCTTACACTGATACGGCTTTTCTCCAGTATGGGTTCGCTGATGATCAAGTAGGTTTCTTTTAGAAGTAAAGCACTTCCCACATTCATTACACTCAAAAGGTTTCTCCCCTGTGTGAGTTCGCCGATGCTGCATGAGTTTTGCATTAACATTGAAGGCCTTTCCACATTCATTGCACTTATATGGCTTCTCCCCAGTATGGATTCTCAGATGCTGCCGAAGCTGGGAGTTACACCGAAAGGACTTCCCACATTCATTACATTCATAAGGTCTCTCACCCGTGTGGATTCTTTGGTGCTGGATTAACTTCCCTTTAGCACTAAAAGTCTTTCCACATTCACTGCACTCATAGGGTTTCTCACCTGTGTGGACTCTCTGATGCTGAATGAGTTTTGCGTTTTTAGTGAAGCCTTTTCCACACTCACTGCACCGATGTGGCTTTTCTCCAGTGTGTATACTCTGATGCTGCCTAAGCTGGGTGCTGCACCTAAAGCCTTTCCCACACACATCACACTCATAAGGCTTCTCTCCAGTATGAATCCTTTGATGCTGAATTAACTTTGCATTCACGTTGAAGGCTTTCCCACAGTCGCTACACTCGTAAGGCTTCTCCCCAGTGTGGGTTCTCTGGTGTGTGATGTATGCAGAACTGCAGCCGAAGCCAGTTCCACACTCCTGGCACTGATAGGGCTTCTCTCCTGTATGTATCCTCTGGTGTCTAACTAGGCTCCCATTAACACTGAAGGCTTTTCCACACACCTTACACTGATAAGGCTTTTCTCCACTGTGGATTGTCTGGTGTGTGATATAGTGTGAACTATAGCTGAAGCATTTCCCACACTCTACACACTTGAAAGGTTTCTCTCCATTATGAAGTCTTTGATGCCAAACAAATTTTGCTTTAACACTGAAGGCTTTGCCACATTCTGTACACTGATAAGGCTTCTCCACGGTGCTGCCTTCTAGATGCTGACTAACTTGAGAGCTACCTTGAGAGGTTTCTGCTAATTCTTTCTGATTCAAAGGTCTCTCCTCTGTAGGAATTTCTCCATTCTTAGTAAGTCTGGTATCAGAGTATTGTTCTCCAGTGGAGCTGGTATGATTCTGGGGCACATCTGGAATCTGGCTACAGAAATGCCCTCCCATGGAACTGGTCTTAACTTGTCCATCAGTGGCACTGATATTCTCTGTCACACTACCCCTTAACTGGACTTCCTGTCGCTGGTCTACAACACAAGTTTTGGAAAGGTTTGTTTTCTGGAAAAAGTCCTTCTGAAGCGCAAATGCTGTACTCTTTTTTCCTTCAGATACTTCTTCTGTCAAATTATCGCCAGTCTGGACAGCAGTATAGTCTACCAAAAGAAGCAGAAAATTAAAAGATGTCATATAGAACTGTGCTTGAAGAAAATACAAAGTTATTCATTATATATATAGGGTCTCATTATGTTGTCGGGCTGGCTTTGAACTATTGATTCTGCTGCATCCACGTCACAGATACTAGAATTACATGTGAACATCACCATGCCCTGCTGAGGAGGTTCTTTAAAAATCACTAAACTAAGTCAAATAGCCTAAGGTTCATCCAGAAGGTATAACTGTCATGGATAAAAAAAAGGAAATAGATCCAGATGTGTAGAGCATGAAAAATAATTTAAAATAAAATAAAAAATTATAAACAAAAGAGATTCCAATTGTGTAATGAAAAATGAGAAGAGTAGACAAGAACATGTATCTCTGTCAGGAAACTTTGGGAAAAGTTCAGCTACATGAGACCAAGTCAATCAAAAATCATCCCCAGCCACATTCTCCTAAGGCAAGGCCACTACAAAAGGCAACATCTATAGCAGAAAGGTTAAAAGTGATAGCAAAGGAAGAAAATTCTAGGTCTTGTCTATAGACAGTATTTTTCCATTGTCTCATGCTTTCCTACATTCTAGAGTTCCTTCTTGGTTGTCCCTATGGACCAAGTTCCTTATCAATAAAAGCAAAATAATCACTGAAGAGGTAGAGGACCTAAATGATAGACTGCAGGAAGACCATCAACAGAGAAGGTGCAAGAGCTGTGTTTTCTCCGCAGAACTTCACTCTAGCCTGTTCTTTCATGTTTATCCTCTGCTTCAGAAAAGCTCTAAGATCTACTTGACATCTCCTCCCATCTCTTCTAAAATTCCGCTACACAAACTTTTCCTTCCATCAACCCGAAAACATTATTTTGTATATAACCACAATTTTTACAATAATGACCTCTCCATTTCTCCCCAAATAGTTTCCTTTATTTTTTCATTTCTCATTTTTTCCAAACACATAAAATAATGTCCTCCCATCTTCTGTAGTCAGGCAGGGATCCCAGCGGTAGGACTGGGACACAAACCCAGCCACAAAACCTTCTACCCACACCTGTCCTGCCTGCGAGATGTGCTGAAGCAATGATGTCTCAGAATGTAGGGAGTGGACAGTCAATGACTGGTTTAACTTGAGGCCAAAGCCAAGAGAGGAGCCCATACCCAACAAGATGGTCAGGAACTGGAAGCCGGACGGTTCAGCGACCTGCAGAGAACCACACAAGACTATACTCCCCCAGAAGTCAACGAAATGATTCCTAATGATATTCTGGAACCACAAGGAAGAGGAGGAGGAAGGGTTGTAGAAGCCAGAGGGATCAAGGACACCAGCAGAGCATGGCCCACAGAATCAACTAGGCAGGGCTCGTAGCTGTGGTTGTTTAGCTTGAGGTTTTTGTGGGACTCCTAACGGCGGTGGTGGGAGTATCCCTGACTCTTTTGTCTGCATTTGGGGCTCTTTCCTCCTGTGTAGCCTCACCTAGCCTTCATATGAGGGTTTGCGTCTAGTCTTACTGCATCTTGTTAAGCCACGTTCAGTTGCCTGCTCTTTTCTGAAGAGAGATAGAGGAGCATTGGATCTGGGGTAGAGAGGGGGTTGGAGGAAAGAGAAGTGGAGGGAGGAGAGGCTGTGGTCAGGATGTATTATATGAGAGAAGAATAAATAAAAATAAAATAACAAACTATATCCTCACCTTAACACTTCATTATAATTATTCTCAACAACATAAGAAACCTGAGTTCCTTTAGAAAGGACTTTAAAACAATATGAGCCTTTTCAAAATTAAAACATGTTTATCTGTTGCTATAGATTCAAAGTTTGCTGCTTTCCATCCCTAGCATTCACCTGTAAAATCCCTAATTTCAAACAAGTAATCGTTATTAGGAGGGAGCACCTTCGGCAAAGCCCTCACAGATGGGATGGCTGTGCTCGAGGAGACCTGGTGACATTCTCCTCCTTCCACCATGTGAAGACACAGCAAGAAGACAGAGAGAAGCCTGTTAATTAGGTAGCAAGCCTTTGTTAAACAGAATCTGCCTGTACCTTCATTTTCTTAAATGTCCAACTCCTAAATTGGAAGAATGGATTTATGTTTTTATAAATGGCCCATAGTATTCTGCTATAGCAGCCCAAGCTAAGCCATACAGAAGACATACATTACATTGTCTATAGATCATCTAATCTATGGTGTTCTGTTCCAATAGTTCAAACCAACAAAGACACCTGTAGTACTAGAAACTTAAAAATTCAGTTAAAGACTGCAAAAATCTAACAGCTAAATTACTAAGTACTCTTTCTGCCTGCAGAAGTACCTCAACTTAGTAACGCTCTCTGTCCTGAAAACTGAGGTTGTTCCCACATTCTTGATACTCAAGTACATCAAGGTACCTTTGAGTCTGACGACTTTCCAAGTCTACCTCTAGAAAACAATATCCAGGTTATCAAGTGCCAACTTCTCTTCTATAAAGACTCCCAATTCACACGGAATTCTTCCAGCTCCAAATGTCATATCCCTGTTTTGCTTCCTCACTGACATTTGATAGAACTAGGTTTCCTGATAGGTGAGTCATCTCTCACTATTACGACTTTCCCACTGTGAAGAGCAAACCCAGTGCCTCAAGCATTCTAACAATGTTCTGCTGCACTGGACTCCCAACCTTCTTTCATTATTGTGATATGTTTGTCTTTGGTTTCTCCTGAGGACAGATACTTTTTAAATTGATTAATATTTGTACCATTTTTCTTTTTTATTTTGGTTTTTGTTTGGTTGATTGGTTTGGTATTTTGTTCTTTTTTTTCTTTGTTTTTGTTTTGTTTTTCAAGACAGGGTTTTTCTGTGTAGCCCTGAATGTTCTGGAACTTGCTCTGTAGACCAGGTTGAACTCAGAGATCTGCCTGTTTCTGCCTCCTGAGTGCTGGAATTAAAGGTGTGTGCCACCATTGCCCAGCTACATTTGTACATTTCATATACCTCAACAACTCATTATTAGTTCTTTACCAACTTTTATTCGTGACCTTTCAGATCCTACAGTATGGCAGATATTAATATCTAGTGATTATTTTTTCTTTACCAATATACCTTCAATTTAATTTTTTGAAGTACTGATTTGTCCACCAAAATCATATTTTCCAGCTTCGCTTGCAGAAAAGATCTAAGGTCCAGCAAGTAAGACTTCTGCAAAAATCACTGGGTTATTATGAGAAAAGCCTTTGATTTGTGTTTTAAAGTTTAGCTTCCAACGGAGTCCTCACCCCTCTGCCCACCCAGAACCTGTATCATTTTCATCCAGACAAATGAGACTAATGGCTGCCTACAGTATGAGAACCAAGCACCTTTGATTAAGGACCTCACAGTATGACTATAAATGCAGACACTTGGCTGGGCCCAAGACCTACTGACAGTCTGTGTAATTGTAAGAGCCCCAAATAATCACTTACACATCAACACTCAAGAAGCATAGACAGGGGACACTTTTTATTTATACTCTCGATGTATAGATAATTATAATTTAACTAAGCTAGACCCTTGATATCTGTTACCACATTTAGTCCTGAGCCCACTGCCCCCTTTCATTATCACATTTTCAGAGATGAGGTCACTAGACTGTAGAGACATCAAACAACTGACCTGCTCAGCCATGTAACAAGAAAGAAAGTTTCCTCACAAACAGAGATTGGATGAGACCTCGGGAAAAGCTCGTAGCTACTTCTGCCTCCTTGTAAAAAGCTGTAAAAGCTACATCCTCCACTTTCAGGGGCAATTCTAGATCCCTGCCCCCATCACCAAATCCATAGTCTTGTTTGAAAATGGTGGGGTCAGAGGTAGAATATGGCAGTTGAGAAAAATGCATTGCCATAATGGATAAATGCGGCACACATTCATGTTGTTGGGCGATCTGTGCCTTGCTTACCAGTCCAGAGGCCCTGGGAGTCTGCGCCAGTGGCCAGCTGAGACAGGCTCTCCAGATCCTTTTCTTCCTCGAGCTGTGAGATCACAGCAGGTTTGAAAAGTAGAAATCCTGATTTTGGGGGAAAAAAACAAACAGAAGAGATGTGAAAACTCTCTCACAGGTACATCCCTAACGTCTCCTGAGATGGCTTGAGCAAAGGGGAGGAAGTGAGATCTCTCAGAAGGGTCAGACTGTGAGCCAGGGTCCACACGCAGAGAAAACTGAGCGTCTGCCCAAAGGGGATACCACTTCTTGATCTTGGCCTTGAGATTCTTTTAAAAGACTCAAGACAAGCAAGGCCAGGGCAATCTGAGGAGGCCTCTGCAGAACAGCGGTTTCTAGTTTTCACAGCATGTCCATGCACAGGTTCTTTATGGTAATTCAAAAGCATGCACTGGTCTCAGCAAAGTCCCATAACAGCTTGGGATTTGCTCTTCCAGCAGGCTATACATAAGGAGATTAGAAAAAGCCCACTCATAAAGGATGACCAGGTCCCCACCTGCCACCTGAGGAAAAAAAAAGTCAGGAAACCCAAAATGGCAGTCTGGGTCCCAGGGAGAGAGGCCTTACCCATGGAGGCCAAGTTCCTATAGTTCTCCAGCATCACATCCCTGTACAGCGCCCTCTGTTCAGGGGACAGACTATCCCATTCCGTCTGGGTGAAGTACACAGCCACATCCTCAAAGGTCACCAACTTCTGAAACAACAGGTTCTTGCTGCCCTAGGGCCAATTCCATGGCTCAGGCCCTAAGTGAGGGGCAGAGGGCAAAATAAGGGCTTGGGGAGGGGGCTTGTGAAGAGAAAAAAATTAGTAACAAAGGAAAGTGGAGGGAAAACACCAGGAAAGTAAACTACGAAATATCCGCCTTCTCTTACAGCAGAGAAACCGCATGCCGTTTTCACACTGGGCTGAAAGAAAAAGAATTTCCATGAGCAAATTCCACTACAGCAATGCTGCTCTCAGCCACTCCCTCTCTGGCAGGTGCTGCAATGCTGCTCTCTGGCAGGCTGCTGGAGGCAGCTGCAGTTCCCAGTGCTTCCCTGTGAGGTCATGCTCCCCTGTGGCTTACCTCAAGCCCCAGCTCCCCTCATTATCCTCATCCTCATAAGGTAAAACAGATGTCCCCTGCCTGACAAAAGGCTTCTTTCCCAGTTGCCACCTAGCTCTCCGGATAGACAACCCCCAACCAAGGGCCCCCAGGTCCCCGTCTTTTTCTTCCTTGTTCCCACTTTCCATCATCTTCCTTATTCTTCTCATTCACCTGCAGCTGTTCTTTTTCCACCCAAGCTATTAATTACCCCAAACCTCTGCAACTCCTCCATGCATATTCATGCACAGAGCACCACGTGGGTGGTTTCCATGGCCTCTGCCAGGGTGCGCATGTGCAGTGGCACAGAGACCCTTGTTTGACTCCCATCTGCTAGGTTTACTTTCCTGCTATCTTCATTGGTCGCTGCCCCAGTCTCTGCCACTTGCCTGTCCACCTTTCCCACAAGATCCAGTTTGGCACGCAGAAGCAGGTTTTATTCCAAGTCTCACCAGCATTCTTCTCAGTTCTCAATCTCAACTGCCCAGAGGAAGGGATGAGGGGCCCACAGCTCACCTGGGGCCAAACTGATGGGATCATGGCTGCCATCACCTGGTCTCCCTCTCAAGGGCTGGAGCTGAGGAGAAGCAGAGAGTTGGGATGGGATGTGAGGCAAGCCACCCCAATCAGGAGCACAACTAAGACCTGAGGTACAGGCAGCTGTATCCAGATCCTCTTGCTGGCTCAAGTGCCCAGTCTCCTTCCCAGGACACCGATGCTTTGGCTGCCAAGAAGCCTCTGATCTGGCAGGTCTTCGAAGCCTCAGATAAAAGAGGGTTTACAAAACTTAGGCAGAGCCTGAAGACCAACAGGCCAGGAACTGACAATAAGGCTCAAGAAACAACATTATCAAGTCTAACTCACTTCTCCTTCCGTAACCAAGCATCATTCACAATCACATGTAAGAAAAGGCCAGCTGCGTACAGCATGCACACGGGGTCTGGGAGACAGGCTGCAGGAAGACGCCACCCAGAAGGGGGACAGCTGCTCCTCTACCTCCCATCGGTGCTCTCATTCTTAAGTGTCAAGAATCCTAACGCTTGCCAGAAGCGATGGTTCACACCCATAATCCCAGCACACAGGAGCTAGAGGCAGGAAGATCAGTTTGAGGCCAGCCTGGGCTAAGGATTTTGTGCGGGCAGGTCTCACTGGACTGGCCTAATAAATTAACCTTGAGAAAGCTGCACTAGAAGTGAGGTAGCAGGCTGCCTCTCAGGTCTCAATCTGAACTGTCCACTTTTGCACCACAGATATGCCAAATGGAGGCTTTCTGCAGTTCTCCTGGGCAGAGACCAGCTTCACAAGGCTGTAACCAACCTACACCAGGAGCTATATCATATATGCCCCATTCCTGCCCTAGGGTTTCTCCCACATTCTGTGTGAGTCACCTGCTGGGCCCTGAACTGCAGGCAAGGAATCATCAGTGAGGCCGCCCTTGACCGACAGGGGACAGAATTTGACGGGTAAGTGCTTTTCCCATCAGCCCTAGAAGGGCATCCTTGAGATTCCAAGGCTGCTCAGAGACTCTGCAAGACAGAACCTGTCGAGGGCCAAGCCTGATAAGGTAACCTTGTATTGGTTTATTAATTAATAAACTAATTTGGCCTAGGAGAGCCTCTCTATTCAACCAAGAGGACTCAGTGGTTGTCATGTTGCGCATTTTAATTTCTACTTTAGAGCTCCGTGACTCTGATTTGTCTCTGATGTAATAATTATTTAGAATATAATGGTGCTGCTCACACTTACCCTCCTAATAAGCTCCAGTTTTAGTATTGTATGTTTAAATGACCAGATCCATTACCTCGTTCTTTACAGTTTTTATTTATTTATTTATCTTTTTTTTTAGAGTTTTGGTTTTTTGGTGCATGGTATCAATGTCCATCTTTTCTTCACATCCTTTGGTATTTAGAAAGAAAACTTACTCTACAATGTAAAATATGTAATTCAATTTGAAGACAACAAGTCAACTCTATTAATACAAGGTCAATCTCGATATTATGGTGTTTGAAGAATTCAATACCACATCTAATTTTAAAAATGTATGCTATGTGCCCAGAAGATGGTGAGGGCAGGAGTGAAAATGAACAAAATGCATTGTATACGTGTATGAAATGCTCAGAGAAAAACAACTTAAAATGTATCCCTATGACTAGTCTCAGATATAGGAGATACGGACAAAATATTCACCATGAGTACTGTTTTTATATATAACCAGCCTGAAAACAACCTCCCTGACCATTGAAAATTACAAATTTGTGTGTTTTTTTATATCTGAATATTATCCAGCAGGTAATATGCTACTGAATTTAGAAATTAACCAAGTACCAGGTGACTATACACTAAGATGCTCAAAAACCGAAAAAGGTTAAATTGTTTACATATTAGTGAATATTAGCAACAGGCTGTGATTAACACAGAATTCAAGAGTCCTTACCTCTAAGGGTGGGAGGGTCCGGATGGATGCAGCAGTAAAGACCCAAACTCTTCCTTAATTGGCTGCTCATAGGTGAGCGTTTTATTTTTTCTTAAAACACTCACTCTTTTTCTTTCTCTCTCTCTAACACACACACACACACACACACACACACACACACACACACACCCCTTGGGAAAATAGTGTTTTGACAACAGTAAGTAAGGCTACGACCAAAGAGACCTGCAGCCATCCAAAGGCCGTACTGTCGACTACGGGGTATGAAATTGCAATTCTGAAATTACTCTGTGTGTATTCTAGCGATGTCGTAATCGTGTGTGCGTGTGTGGGCCGCGTTACCTTTGGGGCCTGACGTCCATGCAGCACACCAGGCCTCAAGCCCTCTGTCAGCAGCGGCTGGGAAGGGGTCCCTGAGCCCCTCACCCTGTCCGGAGCCCGGGGACACGATGTACACACCTGGGGCGCCTGTAGGGCCGCAGCGCGTCCGAAGACTGGCGATGTCACCTCGAGACGCTTCGCCCCCGCAACGCGGTCACCCTCTGGCTGCAGTGACAGCTTCTCCGGCCGGCCACCTGCTAAGCGCTCTGGACTTGGTGTGCGGCCGCCACACGGGAATCGCCACGGTGGGCGCCGAGAGCTGGTGGGGGGCCGCAAGGCTGGCTGCGGGAGACCCTGCGCGAGGACCGCCAGGACACCGCTCACCGCAGCGACGCCGCACTCACCTGCGCAGCACGGTCCGCGGCGCGACCGGAAATGCGTCACCGACCAGTCCCGCCCCTCCAGGAGGGTTGCCCTCCCTCTCGGGGGTACCCCGCCCGTACTCTGCGGTTCCCCTCTGTCCCCTGGTGCTCGAGTCCTTGCTCAGGGTCTGTCGGTGGGGTCTGACGCCTGCGGACGTTACTCCTGGGGACCTGAACACCCCCCCTCCCCGAGAAAGGCTGCCCCGGCTTGTGGTCTTGGTGAAGTTGCAGGTGCCAGCAGGTGGACTGTGCCAGGGCAGTGCGTCACAGGCTGGAGGAACCACGGTCCACTTTAAAAATAAATGTTACGTAATGTCATGCGAGCCTGCTGGGCTTTCGTCGCAGCTGTTCTGGAAGCTGAGACTGAAGATGTAGCTCTGTGGTACAATGCTTGTCTGTCCCTCTGGATTCAATCACCAGTGTAAATAATACAATAACCACTTTGTCCTTAGCATGAAGTTCCTAACTACCTACTTCCTCACAAGGAAACAACTCTCACCTTAAAGGGAAGAAGGAGACTGTTTATTCTGGACCCAAACTGGAGCGATCATACCCAGGAGCACAGATTTAGGTTACTTCAATTCCATGTTCCAAAGTGGAAGCCGTTTCATAGTTTTACAGAACAAAGTCCTAAATCAAAGCAAGTTTAAAATACATTAGTGCTCACATCAGAAAGGTGGCTACAGCAAGATGGGGGCCAGATGATGCTATCTGATAATGTTATCTGGGCTTTGGGGTTGGTGGGCTTTGTTCTGGGCTAAGTGGCCTGGTGCTAGATACCAAAGGGTGTTGAATCTGTTTGGCGCAGGATGTTAGTTCTGATAATGACAAGCAAGGAATATTCGGATTCTAAAGCTAGCCCAAAAGAAGATAATTAGCCTCTGCACCTGCAACATTTTAGCCTCTCCACATCATTACCTAGAGATCCACAAATTATTTAAGGAAACATGAATATAATTTATAATAACAATACTATTTTGATCTAATAACATACATATTTGCCATTGTCATACATAGAATTTGAATGTCACAGCCACACAGAGCCGCTGTCTTTTCCTAGTGTTTTCGAAAATCACAAAAGTGTGACCTAAAATGTTGAATGCTTTGGACAAAAGTTCTGAGTGAAACCCAGGATAGTCTTTCTCTTCATTATTCTGTGGTTAGATAGAATCCTAGAATTACTACATGTTAAAACTGTGTGAACATGCACTGTGTAAGTCCTAGATTCAGGCTCCTCCTAGACCAGGAGCCTGTTTGTAAGTCTGAGATCTTCCCCTGTAGGCAAGGCTGTCCTTCATGGCGTTCTCTGTGGCACTCTGACCTCCATGCACAACGCAAGCCCACCATAACCAACAAATGTTAGAAAAAAAAAACCCACATAAAGTCCCTGAAGGAACCCTGGGGGAGGGTAGCCATGGAGTTGGACTCTCTCAAGAAATTCTCCTTCCTGTAGATGCTCGAAAAATCCCACCTCTCGTGGCGGAGGTGTTGGGAATTGATGGCTGCCGGTGGAAGGGAAGTTGGTTTTCTCTAGGGACAGGGATGTGATCCCCAAGAAGCTACCCATGCTCCAGTGTTGGCAGCACTAAGAGGACTCGGTTAGTTTTAAAATGAATACACGAAGTTGAAGGGAAAGGAGTAGGGAGGGGAGGTGTTGGAGGGGAGCGAATGAGGGTGAATTGATCAAAACACATTACATGTTTGTATGAAATTCTCAATGATTAAAAAATCCCCCTTTCTGACTCTGATAACGCAGTTATTTCTTCATTCCAGCTTGCCTGACCACACTGCAGTGCTTCAAGGTGATGACTGGCCACACCCACCTCTCCAGGCTCTCCTCACACCCATTTTCTTTTCTCTTCTGGCACTTGCTCAACACTGTTCCCTAAATGAGCAGCATTCTAGAGCGTTCTTCCCTTACCTTACCCCTACCCTTCATCATGGCTCTTACAGGAAATGTCAGCTGAAATTCCATTTCTCTCATCGAAAGTGAACCTTCCCTAACCACCCAAAATAAGATAGGACCACCACATATATGCCAGTCTAACACCCTGTACTTCTTAGCACTGGTCACATTTTTACCCAGTTAGTGCTGATAGTCTACTTAACTGTGTGTCTTCTCTGGTAGTTCCAAGAAGCAGGGATTACGTATACCTATATATCTGTGCATATACCTGTACCTGTACCTGTACGTGTGTATGTGTATTTTTAACACCATTATCCTTAACTAGAGACAAAGCCAAGCAGGAAAGAGAGAAATAAGAAACATCCGTTAACCTGACCCCAAACCCCCAGCCCCAACTGCTGGAAATCTTTTGTTGCTGTGCTACCAAGGACTGCAGTGACTTCCGTTTTCACTGTTTTCCAGAGCGGGCACTCTCTGTGACTTCTCTCATTCAGACGGGAAACTGGTCTCTGTGATGGGCCAGAATGGTGTGCACTGATCTTGGCAGTAAATGCTGGTTCCTCTTTCTTCCTGGGCTCAGAAAGCAGAGCTGTAAGAAAGAAGTGCATGGACCCGAGACGAAGTTCACAGCACAAAGGAGATGTAGTTGTCCTCAAGAGACAAAGGGGAGAGAATAAGAGACAAGGCTAGAGAATGAGGGAGAAGAGGAAAGGAACAAGGGACAAGGGGAAAGGGTATCTGTCTGGGACAAAGACTGCCTCTGGGTAGAGAGGAGACAAAACATGGCCCATAGGAAAATGGTGATTATAAAGGTTGAAGGGGAAACCCTGTGTTAGGATGAGGTGTTTAATCTTTATTGGGCATGTTAATTAAATGAGCCATAGGGGGGTTTGATTGCTGGACTTCAGAACCTTGATAGTTAGACCTTGGTAGTCAGCTCAGAAGGAGGAAGTGGCCAAATAGGAATAGACCTTGCTGGCTAGCTTTAGGAATGTAATCTAATGGTTTTTTTTTTTTTTAGAAAGGCAGAGGGAATGGGAGAGGAGGGCAAGGCCTGCCAGAGCTATGTTTGCCATGCTTGGGCAGGCTACAGTCCCTTCAACAATGATCACTAGGATAAATAGAAAAGAATTCGGAGAGCACAGAAGCATATCAATACTGGACTCGAATGAACAGGTCACACACCTGTTACTGGGTTTTGCAATTAAGAAAATATGGTCCAATAAATAATCATGGGACTCTTATTCCTAACAGTGTTAGGACAGACACAAAGTCACAAAGCATGTGACCACATCAGACATGCTGAGAAACTACTGTTTTGATTCTACCTGTGTGGAAAGGGCAGAACACAGAGCACTTGGTCACACCAAGATAACAGAGTCCCCTCCTCGTTCTAATACTGGAGACAAATGACAGCCCACAAAATGATTTCTGTATTCCTGAAAATTGGCATTTTTTTCCTTAGTTATGGTTACTATTGCTGTGAGGAAATACTGTGACCAAAAACAACTTGTGGGAGGAACGGGTTTATCTGGCTTACACCTCCACATCTCTATTCATCCCTAAAAGAAGTAATGACAGGTACTCAAACAGGGCAGGAGCCTGGAGGTAGGCGCTAATGCAGAGGCTGTGCAAGGGTGCTGCTTACTGACTTGCTCATCATGACTTGCTCAGCATGTTTTCTAATAGAACCTAAGACTACCTGTCCAGGGGTAGCCCAACCCACCATGAACTAGGCATCCCCCATCAATTACTAATTAAGAAAATGCCCTACAGGATTGCCTACAGCCTAATCTTGTGGAGGCATTTCTCAATTGAGGTTCCCTCCTTCCAGGTAGCTCTAGTTTTACAAAAAATTAGCCAGCACACATTGCAACACAATTAAAACCATTGTGTCTACAATGCTAAGTTAACCTAGTTTCAGCATTCAAGCTACCTACTAGTCTGATATTAATCAATCTTCCTTTGAGGGTAAGCGAATGAGTCCAGAACCTTAGAAGGCAGGTCGTGGTAGAGAAAAAATTCCGAGAGGGCAGTCAGGCTAGCAAACACCAGTCTGAAAGAGGAAAATGGCCAAGGCATTTGAGACTCTGATCTGAGCTCATACTTCTCCTTCTTGCTAAAGGGTTGCTTATTATCATTGATCAAAGCTGATCATTAGTCATTAAACGACTGTTTCTCAACCAAACATTTGAAACTTCGCTCGACACCCAAAGAGTCTGCACACACACAAAAATACTGTATTGTCACTTCAGATCAAGTCTTCTCATCAGTTTGCCTTTGAGAACGGAACCTCTTTGATTCTGTAAATGCCATTCCAGCCTTTCACTGTTGAGCTTACAAGGGGACAACCAGCCTCCATCTGTTTAGACACTGATTCACAAGTGCCATCTCAGCACTCCCCTGCTCCCACTTTGCTGCTCCAAGTGTTCATCCACCACCACCACCCTCAGGCTCACTCTGCCTCATACCTCAGCCCACAAAGCATGCATTTCAGTCAACATTGGTCCTGATCAGCTTGCACCAGACCCTCCATGTGACACAGAAATTAAGAGCCATGCTGCCTGTATTTAAGGACGCCCAGCAGAGGGCACTCGCTACCTATGGGACTGGATCAGTACATTCTGCTTCCTGAGTCTTCCTGAAAAGGGATGCTTCTAGAAATCTCACAGATGCTGTTGGATAGGGTCTTAAATAGTCTCTCTTTATACCTCATGACAATGTATAATAAATTCTGCCAAACAAGCCATATGCTTTTTAAATAGTAACACTTTCTTATCCTTAACATCCCAAATCCATTAGCATCTGGGTCCCTACTCAGACTTCGTTGTTAAAAGGCATCCTTCTGCCCTCCGACACAAGTGGCACTTCGCTTCCTCACTAACCACTCATCCCAGCAATATCTTGGGCTTGGAGGATGCAGCATAGCAGATCTGCCATTCCATTCACCTTCCCGACAAACTGGTTCTTTTTAGTTCATGTAGACTAACTGGCAGAGACAAATATGGACTGCTCTCTGTAAACAGACTCGATTTCAGCTCAATATATAGCTATAGTTATAGATTTGATATAGATAGATCTTGAGAGAATCAACACTCACTAAAACAGTTGTTCTTAAACTGTGC